GACATCAATACCAGTGCAGTTGTATCTGTGATCCCAGAACCAGTCTTTAACAAAATTCGGTCTGGACTCCAACCCTTAAGTTTCTGCAAGACCTGAGTAGACTGAGAACCTATACCGGGGAACTGTTACAGATTAAGGGTACAATTTCGGTTCTGGACTCTCATGAAAAGCAGCTGGTTCAGTTACCACAGATTGTAGTAAAAGGCTTGAGCCCAAACTTAATGGGGTGAAATTGGTTAAGAAAGATTTACCTAGATTGCATCAACATTTTTCGATCAGTGCGAAGTTTTAATTAAATACCTAGATGGTCTAAGGACTGTTAAAGAGTGAGGGCAACCTTACATGTTGACCAGGAAGAAATTCCATGATTCTGCGAGGATCCACCCAGTGACATTTGCCTTGTGGGCAAAAGTAGAGGCAGAAATCAGGAAGCTGGAGAGCAAAGGAATCATCAAACCAGTACAGTTTGCAGAATGGGCAGCACCAGTCAATTGTAAAGCATCCAATGGTCTGGCAGAAACAGCAGGCTTAAAGAAACAGCCTACAGCTTCCCTAAATACTGAACTGTCCTGGTTCCTATTTGATTATAGGACCACCCCTCATGCAACGACAGAAATTGGCCCAGCAGAGTTGCAGGTTAAATCTGATGTTCCTGGACCTGGGGGTGGGGGGGAGGGTGAAATGACATTGGGAACACCAATGCTGGACACAAGACTGTGCCAAGTGAAAGAGATAGTTTGTTTCAGTGGAGAAAGTTTGGCGTAGAGGCATGGTCGATGCAAGATCTGATCCACTGACGTATAAAGTTCAGGTAGGAGTGATGTTCCTGAACTAGCATGTGGACCATATGAAAGCTGTGAAATCACAAATGTTGCCACAGCAAAATGTGCCCAGCTCCTTGGAACAGTTGGAAAGGCTTCCGAAATCCGTGTGTTCACCCTCTCCGTGAAGCGTTGAAGAGACTTCTGAATCTGAGATGGGCATGGTGGATGTTCCTGCATCGATGCCTTTGCTGCCGGAGTAAGACAGAGAATTCCTCCGGAGGTGCTCCAGTCACAAGAGACGAGCCCCTGTGCATTACATACCATCCGTATCCCGCACGATGGATCCTGACCTTGTGCTAAAAACATCCCAGGAGTCGTTACAAGAAAAAGGACTGGCCTATGTTCTCGGACTCAAAGTGGGATGGATGTAGTAATTGTAATGAAGTTAGCTAGGTGGACCTCATAGAATATAAGTTCCCTGATTGGGACTGCTAACCTGTTCCAATCAGGGAGCTGCAGCTGACAGGTATAAACAGGAGGGTCGGACGTTCCATTCACCCTGAGAGCTGGTTCTAAGGAAGCTGGACCAGTGTCAAGGACTTTCCACGTTAAAATAAAGGGTGGCTTAGTGATGGGATAATGGCCTTTGTGTGATATTTCACCTCCCATTTAGAATAACAAGGGCAGCAGATACATGGGAACACCACCACACCACCGGCATGCTGCACACTGTCCAGAATTGGAATTTAATCTCTATTCCTTCAGTGCCACCCAGTTAAAACCCTGTCTCTTGAAACTCCCTTTAAATACAATATTTCCAATTTTGCACATACGGAAAATTAGGTGGCATGTATGTTATAGGATGCATGCAAAAATGCTTTGAGAGAATTTGGAGAGGCTAAGTGAGTGAGCAAAAAGCTTGGCAGGATGGAATAAAATGTGCAGAAATGTGAGGTTACATACTTTGATAGAAAAAAATGTGAGAAAGAGTATTTCTTAAATGGCAAGAGACTGGGAAATGTTCAACTTCAAAGGGATTTGGGTGTCTGTGTTGATGACTCACTGAAGATTAATATGCAAGGACAACAAGCAATGATGAAGGCATGTGGTTTGTTGACTTTTGTCACAAGATTTTAGATTGGGAGCAAAGGTGCTTTACTGAAATTATATAGAGTTTTGATCAGATTATGTCATCCCACCCAGACCTGCCCTCCCTACCGAATCCCTGTAAGCCTGCATTTCCCACGGCCAATCCACCTAACCCGCACATCTTTGGACTGTGGGAGGTAACCGGAGCACCTGGAGGAAACCCACACAGACAGTCACCCGAGGATGGAATTGAAACCGGGTCCCTGGCGCTGTGAGGCAGCAGTGCTAACCACTGAACTGCCCCAAAACAACGTTGATGCTGAAAATCTGAAATAGAAAGTTAGAATCCTTACAGTGCAGATTGAGGCTATTCAGTCCATCATGTCCGCATTGACATGACATCTCACCAAGATCCACCCTACCCCTGCATTTACCATGCTTAACCCACCGAGCCTGCACATCATTGGACTGTGGGAGGAAACCCGCACAGACACAGGGAGAATGTGCAAACTCCACACAGACAGTTGCCTGCGGGTGGAATCGAACCCAGGTCCCTGGTGCTGTGAGGCAGCAGTGCTGACCCCTGTGCTGTCCCAGGAATACAGTATGCAGGGTTGAACTCCTTGCTGAAGGAATGATGCTCTTGCCGTGATAGGAATGAAATGAAGGTTCATCAATCCATTTCCTAGGATGGAGGGATGAGGGAAGATGGAATAGACAGCCTTTATCCTCTGGAGTTTAGAAGAATGGGAAGCAATGAAAAACACACAAAATACTTACAAGGATCAACAAGGTGGATATAGGATGGATGTTTCCCCCTGGCTGGAGTTCTAGAGCTAAGGATAGTCTCAGAGTAATAAGCTGGTCATTTAGGCTGAGTTGTGGAGGAACATCCTCGCTCAGCAAGAATCTTTAGAGTACTTACACGATACAGATCAATAGATTTCTACATTTTAAAAACAACAAGGGATAGTGCAGAAAATTGAAGGTCATTGGTAGTTGAAGTAGAATATCACCCATATGCTCAATTGAAAGACTCAAATGGCCTACTCCTGCTCTTATTTCTCATGTTGTACCTAACAGGACTTTAGGTCTACATGGCCTGTGGTGGTTCCAGAAGGCAGTTCATCACCACCTTCTGCAGGGCAATTAGACATAAGCAATACATTTCAGCAACACCTACATCCTGTGAAATAATAATGGAACAATCTTCAGAGAAAGAGATCACTTTTAATATTTTCATCAATCCCTCAGTTATGTGTGTTGAAATTGGTTTGCCTAGCTTGACCTGTTTCCAGCTCGGTCTGTGTTGCTTAAGATGTGTTTTAAATCCCAATTATCCCAAAAGCATGGCCTTTGGATCTAGATTGCCCCACAAGATGAAACAGCTGCTTTTTGTCTACTTTGTCAATTCCCTTTAGCAACTTATCTACCTCAGTAAGATCTTTTCTCATTCTATTAAACTCCGGAGAGTATAGGCCTAAAGTGCTCAATCTTTCTTCGTAAGGCAATCAATCTGGGATCAATCTAGATGGCCTTTGTCAGTTTTGTATCCACCACAGGCCCAGAATTGCTAAGGGACACATGTTTCAGGTGAACGAGAGAGGGAAGGGGCCAGTGGGGTAGGGGAGGGTTGCTGGTTGGATTGGGAGAGAGGTGGAAGAAAGTGGGTTAGCTAAGGTCCATTGATAATGTCACTGGGTCTGCATTTTGGGTTCCCCAAACAGTGACTCTGCCTGCCCACCACTGAATTGCAATGGTGGTGAGATGAGGTACTTAAATAGACAATAATTTCATCCTTCGGGTCCTCAGTTAGAATCCAGGCTGCAAGGCTGTCCACAAGTCTTTCCACTTGGGTTAATCAGGCGAGGGTGGCAATGGGTTGTTCGGGGTCCCACTTAGCTAAGATCTTCTGCCTCACCCCCAATCCAATGGAATGGGAGAGGAAGGGGAACATAATTTCTGCCCAATTTCAGATCAATGAACTTTTGATACAAAGTCTTTATATAAAAAGAAATGCTGGAAATACAGCAGCAGTTCCATCACCGTCTATTGAACAAGTCTGTTTTGGATGAGGATGGCTCTTCAGAAAAGAAAACCAAAGATGATTACGGCCTGTTGCCGTGTTAGAAGGAGAAGGGAACTTGGCAGAGATGGAGACACGAGACACTCTAAATCAATGAAAAGAACATCTAGAACTGATGCATGTCACAAGAAGCAAAAGAAGAGTATGACATTGCATAAGCTTAATCTGAGAAAAAGTGCTGACCTAGGACAACCCACAGCTAAATTTGGAAAGATGGAAAAAAATGTGGAAATTAGTGAAGGGCATTTGATGTCATTGAGTGCACCAATGCTAGACAGCTGCTTCCTACAAGTGATTAGATGCAATGGAATGATGCATATTGGATGTGTCTTCAAATTATAGGAACAAGTCACTCTGCAAATTGATGTTTGCTATTTTCATAAGAATCCCTCTGGTGTGGAAGGAGACTGTTTAGCCCGTCTAGTCTGCATCAACCATCCGAAAAGAATCCCACCTAAACACAGCCCTTACTCTAACCCTGCAAATCTACATTTACCTAATTTACAGAGCAATTCTGGATACTACAGACAATTTAGCACATCTTTGGACTGTGGGAGGAAACCAGACCATCCAGCAGAAACCCAAATAGACAGGGAGAACATGCAAACTCCACACAGATCCTTGGTTCTATGAGGCAGTGGTGCTGACCACTGAACTACTGTGCCACCCTCGGCATTTGTTTCATTGTAAACACTACGAGTAAGAAAGCATGCAAAGAAAAAAGAAACATAGAGGACTGATGATGTTTTTAAAATTATAAAGGTGGTTCATGGGGTAAATGTGAAAATGTTGTCACTTCAACAGAGGAAATCAGAACAGCTGGCCAAGGTAGACACTGATATGTCTTTATTCAGAGAGGATTGGAGAGTCACCATTACATGGAATTGCTGAAGTGATAAGCAGTGTGAAGAGAGAAGGGGATAGAATGACAGAGTGGGCTGAAAGGAGCCTTCGGCGGAACTGCGCAGGCGCAGGGCTGTTGTGCGCTGGGTGCTGGGAGTTGTAGTCCGCCGTTGCGCCGAGGGCTACCCGCCGGAATGGGAGGGCGGATCGGAGCAGGACTACAACCCCCAGACGGCCAGGCGGCAGAGGTGGCTGAGGGGTAGCGCGATGTTTGTGGCGGTGGAGGCTGGCTGCTGCTCTATATCACTGGCTGCGGAGCTGCTCCCGCTCCTGCTCTGGCCTCAGGATGATCGTGGCTCCGGCGGCCGAGAGAAACAAGGAGCCCATCCTGGCTGTCATCCGGCAGCAGCTGAGACCCCGAGCGCCGGCGCTGGCGCTGGAGTTAGCCTCAGGATCCGGGCAGCACCTGATGCACTTCGCCCAGGCTCTGCCCAACGTAGTGTGGCAGCCGTCTGAAGTGGATCCCCGGGCCCTGGAGAGGTGAGGCCGGGGGCGACAGGGAGGTGTGCAGGGGGATACAGGAGCAACAGGCCCACACTCAGAACCTGCCAGACTTTCCAGACACCTGTAGTGTCCCACTCTGATCATTAGCAATCCCTCTGTCTGATAGTCACTCTGTTCACCAATAATCACTGTGTCTGCACTCACCCTGTTCCTGGACACCGTCACCCAGGGTATTTACAGGCACCCTGTTCCTGGACACTGTCGCCCAGGGTATCTACAGGC